GGGGGGGAGTAGAATCTATGAGAGCCCAGAGCCTGATATCTGTACACCTTCAGGGCCTGGGGCTGATTTTCTCATCTCACCTTGTGTCCTGGAGAGGACTGAGCAGAAGATAGCCCAGAATCTCCCAACTCAGGAACTAAGGAACAGGTGCTTCCTAAATCCCAAGTCATGCTCTGGTCCTCTGACCCAAGGGCAAGGCTGCCCTTCAGCTGCCCCAGTGTCCAGCCCCCTAGCCACCTGTGTCTAGCTGACCTAGTGACTTCCCGAGGCAGTCTCTCTTGATGTCTTGCTACATCTTCAGCTACATCTCTCACTCTCTTCTACACACAGGGGCTTGAACTGGGTCATTTTCCTCTCTGTTTTCTCCAGGTGCCCATTCTCTCCCAGGCCCAAATTCAAGGTTATTTGAGGGGCCCATGGAGCGAAGGTTTTCCCCCCTTCCTACCCACCATTCCGCTTGTAACCCAGGAGGTAAATGAAGGAGGGTGAAAGCAGGGGTGGGGAGGTGACCTTCCTGATACCTGTAATGGAAAATCCTGGGAGGGGCCAGTCATTTGGGGAATTCAGACTTGAGCCCTGTGCCCTCAGAATGGATTTGTGGGAGGACAGGTTGATAATCCCTCTGTACAGAGTTTCCTCTGGGGCCAGAGACAGACCCAGCCCAGCCAGTGGCACCTGAAGCCTCCGGACCAAGGGTCCCATCCCCTCCCTCCTTTCCTCCTAGCTTCCTTTGGGCTCAGGATGCTCAGACTTGCCCCCAAGCCTCTGGCTTTCCCTCAATTCCTCTGTGTGTCCAGAGAAATGGGAACCCTTCCTCTGACTACTCCCGGGGGAAGCTAGGGGTTGGTTTTTCTTCTCTCTCTGCCCCTCTGGTTCTCCCTTCCTCCCTCTGCCTCTCATTCTGTGGCTCTTTTATCCAATTGGTAGCAACACCGCCACCCGATCAGCTGGTCCCACCCTGGGTCATCTCCTCTACCCCTGTGCTAGCTGGCGTAAGGTTAAGGACACCCCTCCTGCCCCTTCCAGTAGAGGGTCCCACGTGGCCCTCCCCGCCTTCTCTGTGGCTCTCACCAGGGGTCCTTCCAAGGTGCCTCATATACCAGTAGCCGTAGCTACTTTTTCTGGCTCAGTGTCCCCGCAACCTCTACGGTAGAGAGAATAGTCTGTTTCTCTGGGGGGTTGGGTGTAGGCTCAGGAGACCTGGCTTCTGGCTCTCTCCATTCATGTTGTTTAATCGTCCTGTGCCTGAGTTTCCTTACCCGGGAAAACAAAAGGAAGGGTGAACCATGTGTCCTCTGGCATCCTGGGATGCTGGGAGGTCTTCTTCCCTCTGCCTGTCCCTAAAGGGCACATTCCCACCCTCGCTCCTCTGTACTTCCTCCCCAGGGCAACGGAGGGGGCTGAGGAGAGCACTCAGTAGGACATACCGACCGCCACTGCCAGTTGCTTTAGGGGCGGGAGGGGAGGAGTCCTCAGGGATCCTGTTTCAACAAACGCTTCTTTCCAGAGGAGGCGAAGGCGGGGGGAGAGGGGGAGAGGGACCTATTTAAAGCTACCCTGTTGCTGGTCATCTGTCTGGTTGCCCGGGTCTCTGGCCGTCCCCAGACTGCGGTGTGGCTTGTGAATCCTCCTGCTAACCTCTCCAGTCTAGACCCCCCCGAGCCACTCCGCCCTAAGATGGGCCGTGGGGTGAGTATCCCAAAGAGCAGGGGTGGCTCTGTGGGAAAGAGAAGGGCTCTCTGGAGGCTGAAGGAGACTAGAGGGAAAGCATGCGGTGGGTGGGATGTGGAGGGAGAGGCAGAGAGAGGCTGACTCGCTGGGTGGTCTGAACTTGGAACTCACAGTCCCCTGGCTACAGAGGCACACACAGACCCACTGCTCACGTGCCCGAGTCCTCTCCTCTTCAGCACCCCCACACTCAGCCCCCAGCCCTCCAGCTTGCCCTCCAGCATCCACATCTCTGTCCTGTACCCGGCACAGCCCCTCCTCCTCACCGCATCCCCTGGCCTCCCAGCTGAAGGGATATTGGCTGAAGGGATCTTCCTGCCTTCACCACCCCGGCAAACACTCACTTCTCTGGGAGTCCCAGCCTGAGGGGACTGAGAGGGGCAGGAGAGCAACTGCTCCTGAGTCACCTAACAGTTCTGGACACCAGCTCCAGGGCCCTGAGTTCCAAGGACAGCTGGGAAGGGTGTGGGGAGGAAAATGATGTGCCCCTAGGCCCCCGTCCAGCACTCCTCTGGATCTCCTGGCAGCATTGTCTGGGCCATGGGCTTGGAGGACTTTCCCATGGGCTTGGAGGACTTTCCCAAAGGCTGGTAAGAGCTGCCTGCTCCCCGCCTCCCACCCCACCCCCTCCACCCTTGTCAGTGATATTCTGCAGCACTGGGTATGCCAAGGGGAAGGCTAACAACCAGGGCTGGGGGAGGGGGGCAGGCACCAGGCCTTGGCTACTTGGAAATGAAATTTCCATGTGGAGAAAAGTGACCCGATCCTTTTACCCACTGCGCCTGCTACTTTCCTTTTGTGCAATGCTGGGCACAGAGGACAAGGGCACAGGGAGCCATGGGGGTGCTGAAGAAAGAGGGGGCCCATGGGTCTGTGGGGAGTTCCTGGGGCTGGAGGGGTCAGGCAAGGACTTGTTATTGCACTGAGTTTAGCAGCTGGAAAAACTCTAAGCTTGGACACCAGGGTTCCTGAGCTAGGGTGGGAGCCATAAATAGAACCTGTGTGAGTGTGTGTGTATGTGTGTGTGTGTATGTGTGCATGTTTGCGCGCCTGCAGTCCATGTGCTCTCCACAGGCTGGAGTTGATACACATATCCGTGGATGAGCACCCGTGTTTGTGTCCCAGGGGGTAAATCTGAGAACGTAAAGACCTCCAAACATGTGTGGGCATCAGTGTCACTGTTGGGGGGTGGGGAGGGGTCTGTGAGGAGCTGTCTCTGCAGTGGGGGCTTCATGGAGGAAGAGGCGACAACCATAGGAAGATATACTGTCTTGGGATCTTAAACTGCCCCTTGGCATCTTCTGTTTCCCGAGGGAAAGGGAGTCCCAGCTGAGGTGCAGGACTCTGAGGTGTCCCTGAGGAGAGGCCAGGTGACCCTCCACTCCCCCACCCCAAGCCCTCTCTGCTGGGACTTCACCTTAAAACAGGTGGACCCAGCTCAAGAGGTCCTGCTTGGGAAGCCATTTGGCTCGGCTTTTTCAGGGGACCCTCGCTGCTTGGGGACTGCGCTTCTCCCTCAGCATTCATGAAGCCCCTTGCCCGCCGCCCTTAGTAGCAAGTCTGGGAGCAGATCTGCTTCTGCTTGGGCTGAGAGGGTGGGTGAAGCGGGGGGACTTAGGGCTGGAGCTTGGAGTTCAACCCACCAGGAGACTCCTTAGGACAAAAGCCCCCCACCCACATTCCCACACTGGGGCTCCCTTTGCCCTATCCCTTTTCCCCTGCATCTTCCCTCTGGAGCAAGGCCCCTCACCCCATCCCCCTGTGGCCGGGGAGGGCAATGTGGGAGTTGGGGGAAGGGACAGCATGGTGGGAGGGAACCCGCCCCTCCAGCTGCCAGGGGAGGCTGAGGAGGGGGTAGTGGCTGACTTCCAGCTTCCCCAGCTCTGGCCGGGCCTCTGGCTTTCTCAGAAAGAACTCTCTGTTCTCCTTTCGCATTCAAGCCCCAGGCTGGGCCTTGTGGTTGGGGGAGGGGGAACAGGCTGAGGAG